TCTTTGTAAATAGGGAAGGGTGGAGGGCGTGAAGGGAGGGCTAGGAATGGGGAAAAAAGAAGAACCAAGATGCATTATATAAAGGCACAATTCCCAATGAGAAATGTAATTGTGTTGTATACCTACAATGTACCAATAAAAGAATTTAATACAAAATAAATACACTATGTATATTTAAAACATAAAATTCTCCATATACTGCAGTTAAAAAAACTCATTTTAAAGTTTCATCAATAAAATGGTATATAGCTGGGGATTTAGCTCAGTGGTTCTGCTGCCTGCCTTGCAAGCGCAAGGTCCCGAGTTCGATCCCCAGTACAGGAAAAAAAAAGGCGTATCATTATTCTAAAATACATGCTAAGTATTACCCATTTAAATAGTAGTAATCATTGTTTTATTGTTTGGTCATGTCCTTGAAATGAAGTTTCTACTGTTTAGGAAAGTGGACATAAACATTTAATCTTATGATCAACTTAATATTTTCAGTAAAAACAATGTAAAAAGCTTGCATTTTAAGTAAATTATCCATACACTTTGTTCAGGGATAAAGATCGCAGATTGAAAACAGCAGGTGATTGCTTCTACATGCATGTATCAATTTCACTATTAAAAGTTCATGGCAGTGTACACATTAAAATAATGATCTCAATCAGGGTTATTCTCCCTTCAATCACATCTCCCAAGACAATGTAAGCACTGGCTCTCAAACAACACCATATTAGAACTACAGTACACAAATAAGAAGATATATGAACAAACTATTCTAAAACCTTTGTTTTCATCAGTGTCTTAATATTATCTTCAAAGTTCTACATATTTTAAATCTGTTCCTACCACACCTCTAACATTCATTGAGAAAAAAGTGTTTTGTAGTGAGGTATACAATTAATGTGAAATTTGTGCTCATAACCAAGGTGAGAGAACAAGAGGAAGATGTTAATGTTTATAACTCACTCTTCTCAATATTTTTGGCATCTGGTTATTTTCTTCAGTACCCACTTCTCCCTTCTGTCTAATTCCTACAGCGAATGCACATAAATTCAAAACTCCACACTACCAGAAAGAAAATGAATTCAAAAGAGCTACAAAACTTACGAAATAAACACCCAGATGTAATACATGACAAAATTACTAACAGGAAAGCACTGTGGCTGTGAAATCACCTTTTCTAGAGAGGATATTTACAACTTATCCACACACAGAAACACAAGGCACAGCTATCACAAACCAACTCTTTTACTGACAAAGTTAGGAAATTTCAACCAAAGGTGAAATGAAATTTAGTAGACAGCAGCATGAACAGCAATAAGAAGAAAATTTAAGAATCACTACTTAGACTCTTCTCCATTATCCAGTTTTGATGGAAGATGTGCACAGGAAACACACAATCAAACCAAACACATGGCTTTTCCAGGTCTGGTTCCAATCATCAACAGTAGCCTCAACATATGATTTAAAAATGCCAACAATGGTAATATGTTTCCTCTGCTGGATTTCCCTCTCCAATAGCTAGCTTTCTCTTGGGTTCTTTGGGTGTGCAGGCAATGGCACCTAGTACTGTACACATTACATTCTACCTTCCTCCCCCAACTACTCCCAGACTTCATTCTGCAACCTCTTTACTGTCAGCCAGAAACAGGTGACTAGTAAATGACAAGAAGCTATGTTTTTGCTTTCTCTAAGGATTAAAAAGAATTTTTAATTAACCACGATAATGAGAATCCTTTCCAGAAGAGAACATTTTAGGAGACATATTCAATTTCAATCTATATTTCCTTTAGAAAATTTTAGGAAATATTTTAAAACCACAAAAAATTCCTAATTATGTAATTCTTTAAGAATGGAAAAAATGTGGAAACAAGCTAACTATAGTTCAGAAGGTTGAACTACATCTATAATTATTACCTCAAACACGTAATACTGATGAAAAAGAAAGCTGCAAAAAGTATACAGCTCTTATACAAATGAAAATGGAATCCCAATGACATTATATACAGTTGCATTACTGTGCCTCCGTGTGTGCGTATAAAGTACCAGAACGCAGAACGGAGCACATGGTGGTGCTGTGTATCCGGAGGACCCAAAGATGCAGAAGGGGCCATGAGCTACATTCGGAAAATTTCCATTGTTTTCTTTTTCCTTGAGGCCCAGAAGGTAATGTAACAAAGTATAAGCAGTTACGAATACTGCCCAACAGGTGCATGGTCAACCTTTCTGAACATATTTACAACTGCAAATATGTAAAAAACTAAAAACAAAGCAATGCTTACTTCTAATATGTGTTCATCTTGCTGCTCTCGGTCTAGTCTCCTTGATGTAGTTGTGATAAGACCTGTAAAATATCAAGAAGTTTGTTAATCTTCCAAAAATAAGGTCAATTACAAAACGTTATAACTGAAATCATACTCTCATGACGGTCTGGACAAATTCTAACATCTTCTCAAAGGAAAAAAAGTAAAGAATAAAATTTAAATTCCGGGTATGGTTAATTATTTTAGTTACAATCAACAACATACTGTACTTTACACTTTCTGACTTTAATAATTCTTGGGCATGTCAGATAAATGACAGATTAAGAAAACGAAAAGCTCAAATCAGCCATATTTTCTATTGCTGGCAGCTGAAACTGGCATTTCATCAGAAAAGTTTTTTAAAGTGAGATGAAGTTATACAGAATTTCTTCTTCATCCATATCGCCCCAAAGATATTGTTTCAAAGATAATAGAATTGATTAAAATAACTACTATAAATATATTTTTAAACCTTTAAAAAATATAATGTTAGTAAAACTTACTGCCTTTGAATCATCTACCCTCAAAAATGAACTGGTATCTAACCATATTTACAGATTAACAGGAGTTCAAGGAATATCCTTCACACTGCAAAAGAGCACGAAAATGTGCCTGATGCAGCACAAGCTTGATTTTCCACTAGTCAAAAATCTAACAGTTATTTTTTCTCTATCAAATATTTATGTGTCTCAAAAATGACCAAAAACCACTAGATAGTCCCATGTACTTGTCCTAATGTGGGCACAAAGAAGTTATTATCAATGGTAACATACATCAAGCAATAGCCTGGCATCTTCACTGTAAAACGTTATTTGTTTTCTAACACTTAATCATTCACCAACAACACTGCACAGATACCCACTCTGCTAATAAAGAATTTGCCTATATTCATAGTATCAATTCAATATAAGACCAAAAAGTATTTGATGATTTCCTTTATAGGTTTGGAATTATTGCATTCCCCACATATATGCTTGATATTAATTCCTCTCTGTAACCTAGATGGAACACTAAGTCCATTCAAATACAATAAATTGTAATGCTCCCTTCTTACCCAGTGTACCCTGGCTACAACCATTCATTTACTCTGTCACCTCTCGGTTTAAACAGCCCTGGGGTACCACTGCTCAGCTCTGGAAGCCCTTACATTTCCTGTATCATACATCAACCCATGGAATTATAGTCACTCATTAAAAAATCTTCCTTTATGTGCTACGAAATCCATGAGGGCAGAGTTGCTGCCTGTCTTGCATAGCTTGTGCCACTATAGCTATTAATCTAAAAAAAGTATGAGCTTTTATTCTTAAAACATCACAAAACTAGCATTAAAACTCTTGAAGAGCAGAATTAAAATATGTATTACAGTAAGACAGCTCTTTAAACCTGGAAATGATACAAAAGTATAGCATAAAGGAGCTAACAGAGAGAACCATTCAGCATGTTGAATAAGATGTGTCACATACTGTGACAGGCAGTCTAGGACCTGATGGCGTCCGACAAACTTTGAGGCACAAATCTAAAGTGTGGGGAAGCAGTCAGGCATAGACAGACTTAGGTTGTCTATAAGTAAAAGGGTGAATATGAAAGCTAGAGAATGATGAGCCTACCAACTCCCTGCCCCAAATATAGTAAAACACATAAAACAAGGGGTAATCCAGCTTGAGAATGAAGTAATGTGCCAGAAGAGAATCCCAATGTTCTAAGGCCAAAAGCAGAGACATTTAAGGAAGTATGTCCTTCACATATTCCAGAGAAGCCTAGAAGAGAATACAAAGTGAGGCGGGAAGGTATTTCTAAAAACAGCATTTTTTTAATGAAAGGGACTGCTCTCAGATTAATACAGAGGGTCCATAAGTACCTATAAAGATAATGACATTCTCAGGGCTGGGTTGTGGCTCAGTGGCAGAGTGCTTGCTTGGCATGTCTGAGGCCCTATGTTCTATCCCTAGTACAACCAAAACAAAAACAAAGATGATGACATTCTGGTCCTGAGCTAACCAATACAATAGCCCCTACCCTTATGTGGCTAATAAAATATAAATTAATTAAATTAATTTAAAATTCAATTTCACAGTCACATTAACCACATTTCAGATGCTCAACCGCCATCTGGGACTAGTGTCTCCAGGACAGAACAAGGCAGCTGTGGGACATTCCTCCCAGGAGAGGAAGTTCTACTGAACAGCACCAATACTGACATGGAATACAATCCACAAATTAAGATCTATAAGAAACTTGCGAGTTTGACTTACTCCTCTGTAGAGAATTTATAAGGTATTTCAGATGACAGAAACAAAATAAACAAAAGGGGAAAAGATCTTTCTAGATTTAAAACACTCACACCGAAAAGAATCCTTTATCAAAGGTGACCCTCCATTGCTTTTCTCTAATGCCCCCACCTGTACAGGCAATGAATGTACCTCCTTCAGGTCAGCATGAGGTCAGGTGCCCTCTCCCTCTCTGAGAGAGGTAAACTTAGTCCTTCTCATGGAAAATACTAGGAAGACTGGATGTTTTTAGAGGTACGCTGGATCTCAGGGTAATCAACTGCACTGAGAGCTTACCAGACTGAGAATGCTATCCAAATATCCCATAAATATCATCACTCTGTCCTGTAGAGTTTATTCTGTGTTTATATTTACTCTCACCTCCAGAAAACCACTCATCTCATTACTGCTAATCCTCCTCTCATCCCCTGCCCACTTGACAAATGCGTACCTCAAAAATGAACTCAAGATATACTTTTCACCTATAACCACTACATGTCATAAATTGTGTAGGTATTAAAAGTACTGTTATCCATTTCTTTCATTTTAAACATGTGTCCATCTGCAATGTTTTCTGCTGAATGAAAAATACATAATATATTTAATCTAAATGGTACAAATTCCAGTGATTGCATTCAAATAGCTGAGCCCAAGTGAAATTAAACTCGTCCAACGTCCCCAGTACATCATTAACAGAACCAGATTAGAATTTAGTGCTCCTGAAGCTCAGATTATTTTTTTTCTCCCAATCCCACCAAATCACAATTTATTGCATTACGGTATTTCAACTTTCTATAAACTTGGAACCCATAACTTCCATTAAGTTTAAAAAAAATTAGCAATGACAGTCATTATGTATTTTAAACAATCCAAAAATGCAAATTAGAAAGAGATGCAAAGCAGAAAAATGCATATGCAAGTGCTTCCTTTCATTAAGTTCCTGTTTTATTTCCATTTTCTCCTAGCACCTTTAAGTTAAAAATAGAAATGAAAAGATAAAAGCTAGAAATTATTTTTGCTTGGTCCAGGAAAACACTGCATTCTGTATATCAACCCTATGATAAATGTGGGCGGGCTGAAACAGCAAGTACAGTATCTTCTCAACAATTAAGTTACAAACTTACCTCATAAATTTATGCAAAACTAAGAAACTAAACTTTGCAGCACCTAATAAACATACTTTAAAATTTTTTGTGTGTTTTTAAAGGCAACTTTAGACATTTAGAAAATTTATATAAGAACTAGGAATGTCAGATTAGCTACAATACTTCAATATAAAATTTTACTTTGATATTTCTTACAAATCAAAAGCAAATTCATCTCCAAATTTCTCAAAAGAGATGAAATGAACCTCCAAAGTAGAAAGCACTTTACATATACATATTAAAGGGCTAGTAGATGGAAAATAACATGAGAGGGTCTACTAAGAAGGAGAATATTAGTGCACATATTCAAGTACTTTATTCTGTCCACTCAGCACATACAGATGGCTTAGTCTTGTTTTCAAGAAAGAGTATGAAGGATAGAATTTGGCCAAGACTACATTTGAGAAACATCAAGAGACTACAGAGTGGGGGTACACAGAGATAACAAAAAGAACAAAGGCTCTTGTTGGGGGCTCTATATTCCAAGAAAACTTGAACCTGTTTGGATGATGGGACACATGCAGTCATCTCATCTGTCACTCCAACATAAAACGAACCAACCATCCAGCATTCAAGTGAGGCTCTGGAGGTTCATCCATCCCCAGGCTAACTAATCTGTTGAGCCACCATTGTATGAGAGGTTAGACAAGCCTGGACAAGTCCAGAAGAATTACCAAGTAGAATACTAAATTAGGATTGTCGTTTTAGATACTAAAGTTTTGGAATAGTTCGCTACAAAGCAAGAGTTAACTAATACATCAAATCACCTCATCTCTAACAGTTATTGGGCTTACTAAATGCCAAGGTTCTATATTTTGATCTTTAAACACATTATCTCACTTTATCTACCTACACAGTAATATCTCCATTTTTACAGGCTCAGTGATTAAGATGCCTAAGATCATTTAACAAAATGGGAGTTAAATAAACCCAGGCCATCAGAGTCTAAAGTCCACACTAAAAGTGAGAGAAGCCAGGGAGGAACTGAAGGTTTTGGTTCTTAAAAAAATGGTCTGGAAAAAAAAATGGTCTAAACAACAGCACTGAAGATCCAACAAAACGGTAGCTAGAGAAAGAAATAATATAATTTCTGAATAGGTACAACTGCAATGAATGAGCAAGTACTTGGGATATGTAGTAGGAGTAAAGTAAGGAACAAAACTGTAAAAGATAAGGTCCTATAGCTGGAGGAAAAAAAAATCTGCAGCCCTGTATTTACTAGGCTTGGCAGGAAATGTACTCCGAACCATTTTCCTATTTTTCTATTGGACAATAAGCAGAAGGAGAATGATCAAGGGAAAAAAGTCTGCTTACACTAGTAATTACTCTTATTATTTTCCTAAAACTCCCTACAACCATTCAGCTTTTCTACTCCTGTTTATTTTATAGTAATGCATAAACCACAGAAATCTATGTTCCAGCAAAGCACTATCCAATAGAAGTTTCTATGATGATTGAAAAGTTCTCTAATTCGCACTATCCAAATGGTAGCATCCAGCCATGAGGGCACCAAGCAATTGAAATATGGTAACGTAACTGAAGAACTCAGTTTGTAACTGAATTTAAATAACTTAAACAGTCACTAATCATCTCTGTTCCTTTAGAGTCTCGTGTCAAATGACCCAGGCC